AAACTGTCTAAAACGTTAAAAAATGACTACTAGTTGAGTTGATATGGTAACTTGATTATGATTATATATGGCAAAGGCAGTTTGAAAATTATAATTTAAGTCAGATGATTATGTGAAGAGCTGCATTAAACAGTTGTTTCCATACGTTTTTCAAAAAATTGAGGCCTTTAAATTGTTATTGTCATTTAATTCATATCCAAAGATGTCTAATAAAGAATATATGTATGTGTCAACTTATCCATCATAGATATCGCAAGGTGAACCAAGAATTACGTGACAGATCTGTATTTTGAAAGATCCAAAGAACTTCAAAGAAACTCGGTTCCGTTGCTGGGAAAATGTTGATGACTTTTTTTTTAGTTGTTTTTAGATCAATTGGTGTTAAAATGCTGACAATCTTAAGGTATTTTCAGCAAAAAAATTAAAAATAAATTTTATTAAAATATTCGCCTCCACCGTCGCTTTGTAAAAAGTTTTGAAATCCGTTATCAGCTTCGAATTCGGTCCCAAAATTCTACAAATTTGTTATCAAAAAGCGAACAAAATAAGCGAAATACTATAATAAATCATTTGAAAAACTCATCACCCCCATCTGAAGACTGTAGAATTTGTTWAMAAAAACTGTGGTTTTYCAGTTTCAACTRAATTTTTTTCATGTTTTCTATCTACTCAAAAACCCTCTATTTTGAAGTGTTTTACTTWAAAATACTGACAATCTGGAAGTATTTTATGCGAATAATTWCAAGATTGATGTATAGCTTTGTCGGAATTTTACAAAACCTKTTTTCAGTGTCGAACTCGGGACAAAAACTGAAATAWTTTTTTCCTGTTTTTYCCGAAAATCATTWGGGTCATCCTCAAAAACCCAAATGATTACAAAATTAAAAGTTTTTAATGAAAAGCGCAAAAAAATCAWTATTTTCTGATGCTTCCCTTCTTTCCTGACAATCATGGGGCATTTTAAGCCAAAAATKACATGAAATGAAAATTCGCCTCATGCATCGCGTTGCAGGAAAATTTAGAAAACTCTTTTCACCTTCGAATTTGGCACAAAAACCAGATAWTTTTAGCATAAATACAGCAGCAGCACCAGTTTAAGAACCATAGTCATTGATGCGGCATACGGCAAGACAACTCTTACTTTTTTGCGTATGTTCAACGCAGATGTGATTGAAAACTTGTTTATAGAATTAAACGTTCATATTAAAAATACTTTCGGGATTTATATTTCGTTAAACTTATTGTTTTATTTGTGTTGAATGTTTTAGAAAAAAGTGTGAATTTACGGCAATTGGAATCAAGCCATTGGGTCTACGTTTTCCTGGAAATATAAATTTGTTTTTTCTTGTTCAACTTTTTTATTTTGATTCCTTGTCGTTACTCCGAAATGGTTTATGGAAAATATTTAATTTCAGAATTCAAGACTACAGCAATAATTGGAAACAGTTCAGCAGATATTGTTGAAAATGGGAGTATGTGAAACGAAACATTTAAAAAAATCAGGCCCGTAAGGCAGTTCTAAGAGGCGCTATTTTATTTTAGCAAAATCCTTATTTTAGCCCATAGGGCGCCACCTGCCAAAATCGATGAAAACGTTTTAGATAAAACATTCTCCCTCTTTGACGTACTACTCGAATCTGCAGTAAAATGGTGTGGTTAATGTTAATATTTGAAATTATCAAGTTGGCGGCTGCCTAGCCTACAAATAAACGAAATATACAGGGTTGCTCATTAGTGCGTCAAAGTGCGATATCTCAGTAAATATGAAGTTTACAAGAAAATTCGTCCAACGAAAGTTTTTCACGT